TGGAAAGCGGATGGAAAGCCCATCAGCCAGGGCGTAGAGACCACCCAGGCCACCAAGCAGAGCAACAACAAGTATGCGGCCAGCAGCTACCTGAGCCTGACCTCCAGCCAGTGGAAAAGCCACCAGAGTGTCACCTGCCAGGTCACGCACGAGGGCAGCACCGTGGAGAAGACAGTGGACACCAAAGCTTGCTCTTAGGCCCTCCGCCTCCCCCATCCTTGGGGGATCCTCCTCACCCACATACCCTTGCCCCAGTTCTCTGCTGGACCTCTGAGCCCCCCACCTTGTGCTCAGGCCAGTAGTTCCCCTCCCTCACAGTTACTACTGCTCCTCAATAAAGACTTCACCATTTCTCAGCCAACGTGCAGCTGTGTCTGGTCATGTCTCTGGGGTAAAGGGTCTGTAATGAACATCAGACAACAAAGACTGAGATTTCACCTACCCATAAACCTCCAGACACCCCAGCAGGAGCCAGTGAGCTCCATGTTCATGGGAACCCGGCACCCAGAGCAAGAACTTGTCCTTCCTCAAAGTCCCCAGATGCAGTGCTACCCCCCTGGAAGGGAGAAGGCCCAAGAGAAAGAGAATCAGGGGAAGTGAGCAGGGCACCTGGAGACAGCTAGAGCTAGACCTTGGGGGAACATCAAGGTCATTGTCTGAGGCAGAAACTCCCCCAACCACGGGCCCAGTGGGACAGTGATACAGGTGAATGGCCCCTGCGCCTACATTACCAGAGCCATGGAAAGCTGTGAACACTGCAAAACACAAGGACGGTCCTCAGGCCTCACAGTACACCCAGCTGAGCCCACACACTGCCGCATCCTGCAGCAGGACTCAGGGTGACACACACAGCCCAACAATCCCCAGGCTGGTTGACACTCCACACAAACTGAGGAGGCCTGAACACTTTTGGGACACTAGTGTTTCTGGTCACTGGGGCTGGAATGTGGGCTGAGGCTGAGAACAAGGTCGCTGAGTCTATGATCTGCAGGTTCTGGTCAGGCTGGACCCAGGGTGACGCTGTCTGGGTTTGGCACCTCAGTCAGAAGGAGTGTCTCTCAGGGAGTGTTCATGTTATGGTTGGGCTATGGAGGGAGCTGGCAGTCAGCTGGCGAGAAGGAGGACATGGATAACTGGGTTCACAAGAAAGGCCACAGTCCACGCAGCGAGTGTCCCCAAGTTAGTATCAGTTCTCATTCAGCTGATTCCAGCAAACTATGGGGGCCAGTGAGAGTTTCAGATGGTGACATCCCCTCCCAGCAGGACTATGAACCCTTCTGCCCTGAGCCCACCCACCATGATTCAGTGTAGCTCATCCCGGATGCAAGGTCTGCTCGCAGAGACACTCGCACCCAGGTCCGTGTTGGCAGGTGTGCTCAGCCTTGTGGAGGTCCAGGCTTGACCTGCTCTGCCTTGGCTCATTCCTCTGCACTTCCTGGATTCCTGCCTGTCATTCTGCTTCGTCTAGGATCCAGAGTTGACTTTGCCAGAGCTTTGCAGTGGCCAGACACCCAAGGAAAGAGCCTAAGACGCAGGGAATGCTGGGACCACAACAAATGAGAGGACAAGGTTCCCCCTGAAATTCACACGAGCCCATCTTCCACCAAGTCACATGTGAAGAAACTTAAGGTTTTTGCTGTTCCACAGCACTCCGTGGCCTCACTTACATGGTGAAAAGTGAGTCCCAGTGGGAGAGAGGACAACCTAGATCTTCTTCAATCATGGGACCAGCTATGTAGAATGACGACACCCACACCCACCGAGTCCTGTCCTGAGCTTAGCCTTTCCTTTTCTGTGTTGTTCTATTGGAGAAAACATTAAACACAAGAATGAAAAGACAAAAGAACAAATGAGCCACGTCACCCTCACTCCACCTTCAAAATGATCATTTCTCCTACAGGCGCTGCCACCGGCCCCCCAGCAGTGCCTCCCTAATGCAACATGCACCACAGATTCCCGACCTCACACCATGTGGCTGAAAATATTCCATTGGGGTCCTAGACAGACAAGGACCTGAAAAAATAAAATCATGACAAGCACATGGAAGCCAGTATCTCGGGGAACTCTGGACGACAGTGTTCTGATGGTGAGATCCACAGTGCTTAAATAGTGCTGATTTCATGATATCAACAAATCATTCATAGGTTCCCATCAAAGGGTTCACAAAGGTCAGAGTGTGATTATTTTGCTCATAACTTTGCGCCGTTGTTCCTTTGCGGATGTTACTTTGTATCTGAGTACAACATAATTGAAATTGTCACTGGAGAGCAGGTTGTTTTGGGACCATGTTGGAATGTAAGGAACTCCCCAAACGGTGCTGTATTCCCCGGCGCAGGAGGGAGAGGATGGCCCAGCCGCCCCAGCGGTGACCGCGAGGTTCTCCCTGGATTTTCTACAAGGTGGTTCTAGGAGACTAGAAGGTATGATTCAGGAGGGCCTTCTGGCAAGTCGGGTCCTCAGGAGGACTGGCCACATCATCAAAGACACCCGTGCTGGGATGTGGCTCCTCTTGTGACCTCAACTCCCTTTCCCGCGCCCTGTGCTGTTCCGCTCCGGGCTCCTTCCCTTCTCAGGAGGCGTGTCCAGGAGGGCGGCGCCTTCAATTGCGCTCTGCTCACCTGTAGTGCATTTCACACTCTAGTTAAAGAGAAACTAAACAGACTGTTCCTTTTATTGAACTCCTGACAGTGATGATGTGAGCCCTGCATTCTCCATAGCGGATAATATATTTGCGACTTCTGTGAACCCTCGGATGTGAGTGTTCTGAGAGGGGACAGTCCACCTTGGTTAAATACTGAGGAGCGTGTCTCAGCTTTGGCCACTGGGCGCCTCTTCAGGCGGCTCCTGGGGTCATGAGAACTCTAGGAAACCCCATCGCTCCTGGTCCTGGATGACAACTGCTGTAGCTCTTCTGTGCCTTACCTGCCCAGACCTGAAATGGGTCCCCAATCTGGGCTCCCACGGGGACATGGGATGTAGTCAGGGTGTTTCATGTCTCCCACTTGAATGTGGCTGAGAAACAATCGCCACCTGAAACTTCCAAACATGAGACGAAGAAGAACAGGGAGGTTACGAGGTCAACCTGTTAGAAAATTTGGCATTTTCTGTGGGATTAGCCCAGACATTTCAGGAGAACCCAGATGAGGCCCTCTCTAAGGAAGGTGAGGTTCTGATCCCTGCTGTCCATTTTGGGCCAGTGGGAAAATTCCAGTGTCCACTACTCCACGAGGAAAGCTGTGTCTCCCTACAAGAATTGGGGAAACCCCAGCCCCATGATATCAGCAAGGCATCATGTCAACCCACAGAGAGCAGACATGCTGCTCTCTTCATGAAACTTCACTTTTCAGTGACACAAATTTTCCCCAATACATGCAGTCCCCATCCAGGGGGAAGGGCTTGGAATATGGGATCCAAGGGAGCAAATTCATTCAGCTCCTGCATATCCAGGATCCCTGCGGTGAGTCCATGGGTCTCCTATCCAGATACATGTTGGGGAGGGCATGGGGTGAAGGCTCAGGCTCCCCTCTCACCCACCCACCATGTCCCCAACCAGGCTGAGCATCACCAGCCTGGGGCAATGACCTGACTTCCTCCATCACAGCTGCAGTTTGGGGGCTGGGAGGTGGGGCAGGGACTCCCAGGGAGGGTTTTTGTATGAGACTTTGTCACTGTGTTGGGTGTTCGGCGGAGGGACCCAGCTGACCGTCCTAGGTGAGTCTCTTCCCCCCAGTTCCCTGCTTTCCTCCTGGCCTAGAACAATTTTCTGCCGTGTTTGTGCTTTTTGTCTTGTCTCACTTTGGGGTCCAGCTATCAGACAGAGTCTCAGCCCTGGCATCCTGAGCTCTACCCTCCCTGCTCACACTGTCCTGCTTGCCTCTGTGGTCACCAGCAGCCTTCCCCTCTGACCCTGGGGGGAGGGAATGGACAGGATGACCTGCTGAGTTCTATGCCCTGTCTCTTAAGGCCATGTCAAGTCCCCAGGCTTGCTCTGTTTTCACTGTCCCTACCTGGGCTGCTGTTTGGTCTAGCATTGTCTTAATGGTCTCTTGGGGATACCTACCTTCAAGGGAACAGGGCACCAAACCTGCTCAGGGAGATACCACAGACACACTTTAAAGGGACCCAGGCCGATCAGGGCCATGGCTGGGGACACACAGTCAGAGGTTGAGGTCTGCTCCTTGGACTGTGGGACTCAGGATCAGGAACAAGAAAGTTGATGGTGGGAAGGTCTCCCCTAGGTTTCAGCAGAAGCCATGTCTCGGCCTGCTTGGGACAAAGGGGCTCTGCAGGAGGGAGGCCTGAGAATCCAGGAGATTGATCTACAGGCTAAGAACTAGAAAAGGAAAACTCAAAGGCCAGGCCAGAGGCAAAGGTGTCTGCTGAGTCCCACAGGAGACTGCTCAGATGAACCATCCTTGAGAGATCTCTGAGGGCTCCTATCAGGCCATGGACCCTTCAGACTAATCGAGAACCTAGGGGAAGCAACTGTCAGATGAGAGAGCCCCAAGGACAGCAGAGACGCGGCTCCTGTCAGCAAAAGTCCAATCCCACCAGAGAGCCTCTAGGGGACTAAGACTTGGGGGAAAGCAAACCAACTGCTTGGGCAGCTACATAAGGTCAGAAGCATCTCAAGACAACACCCCAGGAGATCAGGGGGTGGACAGCAAGTAACCCCAAAGAGAGAGAAGCCCTCAGAGACCCAGCAGAAAGTGAGAAGGGAGGGCAGGAAGGGTGGGCAAGTTAGCTCCATGAGAGAACCGAGTAAAGGAGGGTCTCAGAACAGGTGAGGGCAGGTGTTCAGCTCATTATTCCTTAATGGGGGGTTATTGTAGAAAATGGCAAGCTGCCATTTCAGACAAAAACCCTCAGATTCCAAATGAATTCTAAACTAGAAGCCCTGATGTGTGCTCAGAGGCCACTTGATTCACATCAACTCTGAATCAGGCGGTTCCAGCCTAGACTCTGAACCTGTCTACCTGCTGCCCTCCCGCACCCTGCAGGTCAGCCCAAGAGCGCACCCTCTGTCACACTGTTCCCGCCCTCCTCTGAGGAGCTCAGCACCAACAAGGCCACCTTGGTGTGTCTGGTCAATGACTTCTACCCCGGCGCTGTGACCGTGGCCTGGAAGGCGGACGGAAAGCCCATCAGCCAGGGCGTGGAGACCACCAAGCCCTCCAAGCAGAGCAACAGCAAGTATGCGGCCAGCAGCTACCTGAGCCTGACCTCCAGCCAGTGGAAAAGCCACCAGAGTGTCACCTGCCAGGTCACGCACGAGGGCAGCACCGTGGAGAAGACAGTGGATACCAAAGCCTGTTCTTAGGCCCCTCAGCCTCCCCCACCCTCAGGGACCTGTGCCTCAGGACCCCATGGGTCTCCCTCCCCACCCCACCCATCTCCACCCTTCATCCTGCAAACAATCCATTCTCAATAAATGTCCTCATTCTCAAACAGAATCCTGCTCTCCTCTCGTTTTTTGATTAATATTTTTGGTCCTGAAATATCCATTTCCTGAAGGGAAGGTAAAAAGCTATCATTGAGGTCTTCATTTTCCCTTCAAAGGTGTTGTGCATTCCAGTGTCCAGGAATATTCCAGAATAGGAAATTTGGGTAGAGACAGGAGAGTCCACCCTCATACCTTCCCCATCCTGGCTCCTCCTGTGTGGACCCTGACCATGTGCAGCCCTACCCAGGACATTGCCCTGGGGACCAGGGCCTCAGGATCCTGTGTGAGACCCTTCCCTGGAAACCTCTGTCTTTACATTCACGTGCTAATTGGGTTCTATCTCATTGGGAGTCACCATGGTCTCAGATAAATGGTCTTCATGTCTTCTGGAACCCTCTGCTCCTGCCTCCCTGAGGACACTGTCCTTGCTACTCCCACAGGTATTCTCTGTCACTCTAACCACAGCACATTCAGCCCCTGGCCCTGGGTCTTCACCCCCGTAGTCTCCCTGGCATCCCCTCATACCACATGTCTCACAGACTACTTGGTGTTTTCTGAACACTGAGAGACAGAGATCCGTTCTGCTCTTTACACCACAGACCCAGTGGTCGAATGTCCTCTTCATCAGATGATTTTCTTGGTCCTGTGTGTTCAAAATCAAGGTCAGATCTAGGGGTGTCCATGAGTCTGTAGTCCTCTTTAGAGTTCACCATGGGATCTGAGCTGTAACTCACAATCATAAACACATACACACACACACACACACACACTTACACACTCACACACACACTCTCAAGCATGAATACAAAACATAATAACAAGACAGAAGGCCAGTTCCAAGTGTTGCAGTGGCAGGCATCACTGGGCAGATGAGCAAGGGTGGCCCAGGGGCCCAGGCTGGGCCATGAGCAAAGAGAAGTCAGTCACTGCTGACCCTGGATTCTGGCCAACCAGGGCCAAGCAGTGTCAGAGAGGAAGGGCCGGGACACTCAGGACAGGCTCTGAGGAGGCTCGTGGGAGGCCGGCTGACTGCTGCCAGTGGGCAGATCTGGGGGAGACTGTGTCAGGAAAACAGACTGCCCAGCATGGGAGTCCATTGTGTGAGCCTTGCAGGCAACAAACCAGGTCAGGTTGCTCGCGAGGACCTGGATGTTGGGGCCCGCTCACAGTATGCATGTCCTCGTAGGGGTGTGGTGTGTCAGGGAGGGTGCTCTGTGCCAGGGACACTCACATGTGTGAGGCATGTGTGAGCCAGGGAAGTGCAGGAGACAGCAGGGAGTCACACACGTAGAGCTCAGGGACTCCCTCACTGCCCTTGAGGGGTGCCCTCTAGGCCTTTGCTCCTCTAATCACAGTCCTGCATCTGCACAAGGAGGCAGCTGAAGAAAGGGACTAAACAGTGACCATCACACTGAACATTCAGGCTGGCACAACCAAGAACAAGGACCCAGGAGCTCAACATCCAGCCCAGGGACCTGGGGGATCGGGGTCAAGCCGATTGTACTCCCCACCCAGACTTCCCATTCCCACACCTAGCGCTGTACAAGTTCTTGTGCTGAGGACCAGGTGGCATCCAGGTCCCTTCCCACAAGTCCCAATTCTGCAAGTGACCCCGTCTATCATTCTGTGGTGTGACCAGACCTGCTCACCCTGTCAGCAATGTACCCCAAGTGAGCTGAGTCAGCACACGGCTCCTACCTAAGAACGGAATGAACTGCAAGTTCCATTTCCATCCCAGAATTCTCTGCCACCTGTCCCGCCCGACGGCAGGTGTGGCCCTAACAATCCATGAATTTGAAATCCCAGGTCTGCAGGACACACCTTCCTCTAACCATCGCCCCCAGCTGCCTGACTAGCACCCGTGAAGGAGGCTGGACCTGGGTCTCTCCTGCAGCTGCAGGGGCCTGGGGCAGGAGGGGGCGGGCAAGTGGGGAGAACAGAGGGTTTGTGTTCTAGGCTGTGTCACTGTGTGCTGTGTTCGGCGGAGGGACCCAGCTGACCGTCCTCGGTGAGTCTCCTTGCTCCTTCCTCCAGAGTGAACTCGGGGTGTATTGTTCCTCCTGTCTATTCCTACTTGGGCTGCGGGGTCTGTAACCTTCACCCTCATCCTCCCCAGTGGTCCCACCCTCTCTGAGGTCTGGTTGGGAAGCTGGGACCACCCCACAGAACATTCCCTGGTCCTCAGGTCTCGCTGTCCCCAGCCCTATCTCCAGGGGAGCTTCACCTCTAGACTCTGGGATGCTCAGTTCACTCTTCAGGGTCCCCACCGCAGAGTCCGAGAACAGTTAAGGGAAGAATCTAAGGGAAAAGGGTTCTGGCCGGGTCCTGGGATTTTGCAGAGATTCTGAGAACAAGGCCCAGCCCATGTGTGTGTCACTCACGCTCCACCCAGTGTGGTGAGGGATGGCTAATGGGGCCCTGGCTGGGGACTTGGGAGAACAGTGCACAGTAAGGGTGAGGGAAGGAATTCATAGGGAAGGTGGTAGGAGGGAGTGGCCTATTCCTCCTCCAACTCCCATGACACCAGGACATGGGGGACCACCCCGCAGACAGGTGTCAGGAAACTTGGACACCAAAGGACTTCTCGAATATCAGCACTGCAGTGGAGGACGCAAGTAGATGTGCAGGAGAGTGGCACCTCAGGGACACGGGCTCAGTCACACACTGATGTCCTAAGGACAGCTCCCCGGAAACCTCACAGGACAGTCAGACCCTGATGTAGATGCTGTCCAGTCTCAGGACAGATCACTCACCTCAGAAGGGTAACCCACTGTCTATCAGCCTCCATGGAGTCCAGGCCCTGGGCTGACACCCCTCCCTGTGGCAGCCTAGGGACTCCTGAGTGGGGAGTAAGCAGGGGGTGTAACATGGTGTCAGGGACTGTGGGCACGACACCGCCACCCCATGACTGGCAGGGCAGCCCGAAGCAAAAAACAGATGAGCTGGGGTCTTGGGGGAGATCTCAGACACACAGAAGGCCCAGGAGACACTGATTCCCTGCTGAAAGACAGGACATCAGGGTGGATGCGAGTGAGACACAGGGGAGCAGAGGGCAAGATGAGACAAGGGAACCCCAGAAGGAACTAGGGCACTGAGGGCCCCAGAACACTGGCCTCAGAGCATGAAGTCTCTCCCAAAGGAAACGGTGTGACCCAACTCTCAGCCACCTGCTTCCAGGAACAAGGTTCCAGCACCTGGGGACATGCCTGCACATTAGCACTGAGGGCCTGAGTTCCTACCAGGACTCTGAGCCTCTGTCCTCCTGCCCTCCCGAACCCTGCAGGTCAGCCCAAGTCCGCACCCTCTGTCACACTGTTCCCGCCCTCCTCTGAGGAGCTCAGCACCAACAAGGCCACCTTGGTGTGTCTGGTCAATGACTTCTACCCCGGCGCGGTGACCGTGGCCTGGAAGGCGGACGGAAAGCCCATCAGCCAGGGCGTGGAGACCACCAAGCCCTCCAAGCAGAGCAACAGCAAGTATGCGGCCAGCAGCTACCTGAGCCTGACCTCCAGCCAGTGGAAAAGCCACCAGAGTGTCACCTGCCAGGTCACGCACGAGGGCAGCACCGTGGAGAAGACAGTGGACACCAAAGCCTGCTCTTAGGCCCCTCAGCCTCCTCCATCCTTGGGGGATCCTCCTCACCCACATACCCTTGCCCCAGTTCTCTGCTGGAACCCTGAGCCCCCCACCTTGTGCTCAGGCCAGTAGTTCCCCTCCCTCACAGTTACTACTGCTCCTCAATAAAGACTTCACCATTTCTCATCCAACGTGCAGGTGTCTGGTCATGTCTCTGGGATTAGGGTCTGTAATGAACATCAGACAACAAGGACTGAGATTCCACCTGCCCATCACCCCCAGAAACCCCTGTAGGTGCTGGTGAGCTCCGTGGGCACGGGGACTCGGCACCCAAAGCAAGAAGTTGTCCTTCCCCAAAGCCCCTGATGCAGTGCTACCTCCTGGGAAGGGAGATGGCCCAAGTGAGAGAGAGTCAGGGGAAGTGAGCAGGGCGCCTGGAATCAGCTAGAGCTAGACCGTGGGGGGAACATCAAGGTCGTTGTCTGAGGTTGAAACTCCTCCATCCATCCACGGGCCCAGTGGGACAGTGATACAGGTGAATGGCCCCTGCACCTACATTCCCAGAGCCATGGAAAGGTGTGGACACTACAAAACACAAGGATGGTCCTCCGGCCTCTCAGTGCACCCACTGGCACACACACACACCCTGCAGCAGGACTCAGGTGACCTCACACAGCCCAACAATCCCAGGCTGCTTGACGCTCCCCACCCACCCAGGGAGCCCTGAACCCTTTCGGGACACTAGTGTTTCTGGTCACTGGGGCTGGAATGTGGGCTGAGGCTGAGAACAAGGTCGCTGAGTCTATGATCTGCAGGTTCTGGTCAGGCTGGACCCAGGGTGACACTGTCTGTGTTTGGCACCTCAGTTAAGGAGTGTCTCTCAGGGAGTGTTCATGTTATGGTTGGGCTATGGAGGGAGCTGGCAAGTCAGCCGGCGAGAAGGAGGACATTGACAACTGGGTTCATAAGAAAGGCCACAGTCCATACAGCGAGTGTTCCCAAGTTTAGTATCAGTTCTCATTCAGCTGATTCCAGCAAACTATGGGGGCCAGTGAATGTGTCAGATGGTGACATCCCCTCCCAGTAGGACTATGACCCTTTCTGCCCTGAGCCCACCACCCATGGCTCAGTGTAGCTCATCCCGGATGCAAGGTCTGCTCGCAGAGACACTCGCACCCGGGTCCGTGTTGGCAGGTGCGCTCAGCCTTGTGGAGGTCCAGGCTTGACCTGCTCTGCATTGGCTCATTCCTCTGCACTTCCTGGATTCCTGCCTGTCATTCTGCTTCGGCTAAGACCCAGAGTTGACTTTGCCAGAG